TTATATATATATATATTATATATATATATATATATATATATATATATATATATATATATATTATATATGTATATATATATATGTAGATATAAAGGAACGTTCACCAACATTAACATTCGCTGGGACAATAAGCTTTGACATGTAAACATCCCTCGAGTATGAACTACGAGTATAAATGACATAGAGACAGATCTTGAATATGAATTGTCTCTATGTCATTTATATAAAATGTAGCAATCAACTGGAATGCGATTGTGTGAATACTACATTTCCTGTCGCGATTTTTTAACATAACATAGTGAAGCCTTAACCGGATTCCGTTGCTATTCGATGATGATGATTCTTCGCTATATTCATACTTTATATCTGACAGTCTTCCCATAGTATGCAGAACATTTACGCACTTTGTGACCGCTTTGATCTGAAGGTGTTAATATCAACGAGATTTGATTGGATTGTCTTAGAAAACCGACGCAGGGGTTTGACTCCCGACCCTGCTACATACATTAAAAAAGTTACACATGAACGCAGCAAAATAAGTTTGTAAGTGAAGTACATTCCTAATAAGCCCGTCATGCATTCCGATTTAGGGATAAATACACAGACATGATTTTAACGGAAGCTGAATGGGACCTTTCCTCTGATGCCCAATTACCTGGCGTTGACTCTATTTTGATAGCCTACAGCTCAGCGGAACCAGAAGACATATTGAACCTTTCAAAGAATGTCTGCAAGGCCGAAGCTTCATCAAATATATCAACCAAAAAGGGGGTTTTAATGAATCTATGCAACTTCGACGAATATATATTTAGTCTTGTAGGTTGCGTGTATTTGATCTGTCATGTCTTAGATATCCTTTAAACTAAATCTTAAGTTACGCCAAAATATAACTGCCGCTTCCAACAGCTGCTGTGCGACTCAATTGCGCCTCTTATCTTGCTGATTATCCTGATACAGAATTAATTCTAAGGTCAGTTCATTCTGCTATTCAAAATTATCCTGCTTCCTGTTTCTCATCTGCTGAACTGGGTTTTTGATGCTGAACACAGCCATACTATGGCCATAGCCTGTCCCCACGATTAGGCACTCCGCCTGTGTAGCAATCCCTGTGGTGTAGCCAAACAATCATGTTCTTACGTTAAGAAACGCTGACGAGCTGGATGGGCGTGAACTATTAAGTGGAGTTGGGCGATCAAACCATGTGACATAAGACACCCAGAAGGTTAGAAGCGTAGATGCAACAGACCCAACTAGTGCGTCTGTACTCACATTCGTCTCAGTCCTGTATTCGTACATAGATTCACAGAAAACTTGTATTTTGCGATGTAAAACAGACAAAGTCACTCACCATCATCCGAAAGCAGCTGCAACGGCGTTGGTGAGAGGATGTTGTCGGTGCCTCCGTGCCCACATGGCCCGTGCTCATTCCATCCCCATGTTATACAAGTTTTATCAGCTGTACGCGTTGGCATCCAATGCAAGTAGACAGGTGAGAGTGATAAAAGTGCACATACATACATAGCGCTCCGGCTCAGCAGCCATCTCTACAGACTGTACTGGGTTTATGATGGTAGTTGGTGCTTAGTATTTACTATGGTGGTAGGAGGCGTGTCCGTCGACAATGCAAACCATAGGATATGAGGGCACGTGATTATGTTTTGGGAAACCATACCCACATGATCACGTTTGTAAGCAGATACACAGAGCACTGTCCTAGCCACACACTATCACGAATGCGATATGTGTGCTGGCCTCAGTCTCTTAGATTATTTGTCTGTTGTGAAGAAACAAGCTTTGCTCGAGCTCATCGCCCGCACTTCGATGCAATTTTTTGTGTCCTCGTCACTTGAACTCTTGGCCTTGTTCATTCAATAATAGTTTGAGCCGTTTGTTACTACCATCTCCGACCCTAAAACCTCTTCATTGGATTTTGGGTTTACACTGATATGACCCAATATGCACGCTGTAGCTTAAACTTTCAGTTTATAAATGTGTCCCTGTCGTTGCTGAGCACTGATTTGGGAGTATTCGCTTGATCATGCGTCCCTTTGTCGGCAACACTAATCACCGGCCACAGGAATGATATATAGTGCCGAACAGGTCACTATATCTAATCTTCGACCAAATTCAGAGTGCACACCGAACACAGTCTCGGGGAAATTCATCAGTACAAACATGAAGCCAAACCCCAAAGCAGCAAACCATACATAAGAATAGTTCAGACAGTGCATATAAAATGGTATCAAACTCCAGACATACTCAGCAGCGCAAGAGTGTGCTCGCTTCCGCAGGACAGCTGCTCGACATTGCGCAATACGGCGTTAGAAACGGATTCCTCGCTCGCATCAGTGGTCCCGATTCCCAACTGGCCATATGCATTCCTACCCCAGGCGTACACTTCTTTAAGACCTGAGTGATAATATAATGTCGTTGACCGCTATTATACTGCAGGTAGCTTGACTTCACATTGCATGGACTGATAAAAAATGAACCAGTGCTCTCGCGTTGAGCATCTCGTGGAACTAAGCAAGTCATTGCGATGAGGAGAGGCGCGTGCCTTTCACAAGCTTAAGAAACAAAGGCTGCCCAGATGAACTGGGAAGCATACGGTCGAAGGTCATTGGTTTTCAGTATGAAATCGTGCTGATTATAGTGCATATATATAACACAAGCCGATGGATACTACACTTGTTCAACACCGTAGCTTAGAAGTAGTAGGCACACAGGCTCATAGTACCATGTATACACATATGTGTATGTGTATACAAACACGCATATAAAAACATACTGAAAATAGACTCACCACTCATTAGAAAGTTATGCGACCATCCACAGTCCACAACCAGTGGTATTCCGGATGACTCCAAGTTCAAGTTTCCGATGAGTGTGGGGGTATAGACAAAGTGACACTCGGTCTTCGTGTCGGGGCAAATCTGACCGTGTTTGTTGCTTCCAAAGGCGTACACACGACCAGAAGCGGTGCGAATGAGTGTGTGGTATTGACCTGCAGCTACCTGTACCGCACTGCACGTGGGATGCCATCAGAAAAAAGTTCATTGGCAGGATTACTGTATGCACTGCCAACCCTGACTTCGGACGACAACGTATTGGATTTTGATACAAGGCCTGAGCACTAAGGTTAGAGAGGAGAAATTGACTCGGCTTCAGGACCCAGAACATCAGAAAATAAACGGACTCAGTATCGCGCGTAGTCAACTTGAGTGCTTTGTATGGACTACAATTCTGTGAAGAAGCCGATACCACACTTGTCCAGACGTATATACACCGGTATTTATCCCCCCCAAAAAAAGATGTATTAAAAAGCACATCTGTGTAAAGTTGTGGTTCGTTAGACCTAACCTCTCCTGCACTACCCTGCACATCAATGTCTCGTTGCCAAAACCATGTGAATGTGGTACACAAATGAACGCTAGTTTAAACATACTCTACGACTACACAGACAACTGACTGTCCTTCTCACGCACCCACCACCACAACACCCGCACACACCAATCTCCATTCGGCATGGGCACGTGAGCCGGTACACCCGTCTTGAGTGTTTGACTGCCTAGGCCCAGCTGTCCGTGGCGCCCGCTACCCCACGCATATACTCTCCCACTCTTAGTGCACACACATGTGTGCCTTAGCCCGGCAGCGATGCTTGTGACTGGATCGACATCGTCCTCGCCTGCATAGATAGATCAGTTGGATGGTTAGTCTGCGCCTGCCAACAGCTGCCAACAGCCTACGCCTGGGCGGCAATGCAATGGAGATCCGCATGATTCGGTTGAAGTATCTACATACACCCTGCAGAACTTTGCAGAAACACAAAGCCCAGTATGGATACTCTATGCCGACGTTGTTCAGGCTTGCTATATCATGCGCCTCCGGATGTCCATCACAAAAAGGTCCATAGCCACACAAGTGCGTTGCCAAGCAACATCGACCAGTTATCGACGTCCACAATTACATATACACATAAACTGTACCACTGAAATTTCAGCCGACAACTGGGATACACAACAACTCCCTTCATGTGTCGAGTGGGAATGGCATCAACGGACACTTTTACTGCTGCAAGCTACGTGCACAACACATACTCTGTAGTGGAACGTGAAGCGGTTTGCTTGATGCCAGCGGGACAGTTGTAGCAGTCGTGGGTGCACCCTTGGCCGCCTCGCCCAGCCCTAACTGGCCGTATCTATTGCAGCCCCAGGCATACACTTCACCCAAATCTGATTGATAAGCATAAGTATGGGCAATAAGTATAGCCGGACTAAAACTAAAACACGTGAACTGGAGAAAATGCATGTAACTGGCTTACATCCTTGTCTCCACATATACGAATTGGCTGTAGTCGCTCTCTGTTTTGTTTTTTTCTCCGGTCGATACCCTGCACATGTGCACGACTAGCAGTAACACCACGCCAACCACTTCATATCCAACTTAACACACACTCACATAGTGATGCCAGAGCCATCTGAATACTGCACACCAAACTTCTTAAATGCGTCTTCTTGGATGTATGTTGTGAAAGTGAAAGTCCCACGTCCCGTCCCCGCCTATTACAGCAGCAAAACGCTTATTATTCGGACCAAAACCCTATAGAGTAAATACAAGCAGCCCTATGGAGAAGGGTAATGTACTCAAAGAGGTGATCTACTATATATATGCAGCTTTGCCTTTAGCCTTTAATCATGTGTATTCCGATATGGGTGATAATCTGAGAATCCGGATACCATAGTCTCGTAGAACTATCATCGAAAAGTGCGCAACGTCAACAGATTTGACCTTCCTCGGACCACCGCCGACATGCGCAAACCCTCTCGCGCACATTACCCTAAACATTGTACACAGCTCAATTCGGTAACGGCTACACACACCTTCACAGATCTGGCAGCGATTAAATGAGCAGCACAAGTGATAATGTAACGCAATTGGAATAAATGAGAAAATAACTACAGATATGTCACTGCCGAGATGCAGCCCGCCGGTTAAACACATGTCTACTTGCACATCACTGCCAGTCTAGAAGCCCAAGTGATAGACCTCATGCGTACAATCATGCTACAGCCTAGAAAGCACCACGTCCACAATAGATTCACATGTGCATCCAGTATCCTGCTTAGAAAGCAGCACGTATACTTAAGTTCATACAAATGCATGATACAGGCTGAAGTAGAACTGTAACCTGCCAGCCAAGTATTGTATGCCCACCCCCAAGCAGTGCTAACCCACGTCACGCAGAGGTCGTTGCCACAGACTGGTTACAAATACCAGTGAGTCTTTAATACCACGCAAAACAGATGAACGAACTCGTAATCAACAGGTTTCCACCGCTGGCTGTCGATCAGGTGTAATTGAAATCGATGCCTGTATGCACGTATCTGCCTTTAAAGCAACACGTGTAATCAAACCACGTGTACCTTTATTTTATCTTTTACAGCCTAGAAAGCACCACAACTACCTATTACCCTTGTGGTGTGCCGGCGCAAGCCATGCCAACCCGCTTTATCACAGACATGCTACTTATACAAGCAAACTTAACGAAGCTACACCGACGAACGAACTCGTGATCAAGTATCACTCGTAACTGAAATTATAAATACATGCACACAACGACGCCACTACCTGTCAATCCGATGGTGTGTGCCCACCCACAAGCAATGGAGACCCACTTTGCACATAGATCGCTCCCACAGACTGGTTGCAGATGGTCTATATCTCTGGTGTGGCCAAGTCCGAGTTGTCCTCGGTTGTTCCAGCCGCACACATCCAGAGTTCCATTGGCTACAGTTCCAGTGCACGTTATAATACGCCGACAGATGAGTTGAGTGGTCATATCATTGTATAGTAGCAGTGAACTAGCGGTTCTGTGTGTCCTCGAGACGTGGCAGTTGATAATGATATACACTCACGAGTTGACAATGATATACACACACGTCACGCAAAGGACGTGGCTATAAGATGCGAAAGCCTATGTCCGTTGTTGTCAGCTCACAGAATACAGCAGCAGCGGCAATAGAAATTGGTAGAGCGATGTTTGTTTGTATCGTATGTGATGAGTGAGTACTCCGGCGTTATATTGTATTTTGCAGGATTGCTTACTTCCAACACACAGATATATCGCAGGTAATGATTGGGAACATGCAATTCGCACAGAACCTATTGTCACACAAAACCACTTCATCAATGTGTGGGTCTGTAGAAGTGCATTGATCTCATAGGTCACCGTGCGGCGCCACTCAACTTTGAGCTATGAATGAACACATGCCATACAACGACTGTCTTGATCACAACTACAACCCGCGTACCTAGGCACAGAGATGCCTGTACTACGCCAAACCATGTACGTAAGTATTGTACAATTTGAGCATGCAAGTAAGTCGACCTCCTACGAGTACCACCGTCAAATGACATACACCACACTATCTTACCTTTGAGTATGCAGGTATGACCGCCTCCTCCCGTCAGCAGAGTGATACCGTCAGCTGTGTAGTCCTCGACACGTTGTGGTGTGAACTTGTCGTCGCTATGCTTTATGCCCAGTTGTCCGTAACTGTTCGGTCCCTAGCAACCGGGTGTGAGCGTATGTTGCAAACTTTGCAATGAGTGCGCAAATAGACTTGATCTTCAGCCTGAAGTTTGTGTGGCGTATGAGTGGATTGCACATCACTCAGCACCAAGTCCATGGAAAGTATTGATCGTCGATGAGAGGTTTGTAATGTGTTTCAGAGATTACATACTGAATAACAAGCAAGCAAGTGTATTTGATTATCAGCAAGTAATGTGTGAGGTTTTAAGCATTAGAAGAGTTTATGCTCAACATCGAGTACATTTGACATGTTTGCCCTATGTGAGTGGTGTAGAAGAAGTGCAAAGTTTGTAATACAACATGTGTGTGTCAGGCTATATATTCGGTATGCAAGTTGCGATAGGACTAGGAAGTTGACTCTCGGCAACTAAAATTCAAATTAACGGGGTCACCGGATGAAAAAATTAAGATCAGAGATCAAGATCGTCGCGTTCGTGTCGGATGTTTGGATGTGCTATGGCACCAATTACATACTATCTGTAGACTTTCTGCAGATATTACTATCTGTAGACTATCTGCAGATATTACTATCTGTAGACTATCTGCAGATATTACTATCTGTAGACTATCTGCAGATATTGCACACGCTAGTAAACAAGGTTTTGTGTGACGGAATTGAGTCTTGCGTCTGTATGAAATTTATAATGGCAATCTAAATAGATACGTTGATATGTATGTGATTTTTTGTTCCCCAAGTACATACCCAAGTGTACAAAGTCATGGCTGAGTAGCGTCTACACTTGGATAGTGTACTAACCTCCTCATGTGCTTATTCATATGTTGCAACAGCATAGAAATACGTCAGTATCCGTGTGCGAGAGTGTTCTATTGCTAAAAATAAGCACAACTAACACACACTTTATACTCATTTATTACTATATTTATACACAAAAGAGTAGCTTATCTTCGCATCAATGTACGCGACAATATCTATTCATGAATTCCTCAGTTTCTGCATGATGAAACAAAAATATAGAGATGTAAATATAAATTATGTGTAGGGTTGTAGGGTTTTGCCTTATAAGGTGTTGCTGTAGGCAGTAGGGTTGTCGGCAACTAGGCATTTTTAGGGTTGACCATTTTTTTATACTAAAACATTCAATCGATCAATACAACGGCGAGTACAACGTGCGATTGTTAGATATCAAACCCGACTGTTGAGGTCATGTCTACACTGGGAGAACCGTATCTTTTGTTCTTGGACTGACATAAATGAATGCGTAAATGAGTGTTTAGTTTTATCTATTCCCTTCAAATACAACAGAACGCAACATTTTCTCGAAGCTTCCCATGCATGCGCCGCAGCCGAAAGGATACTTGTCTTAAAAAAAATTCATTCCATTCACAAAATACCCCAACTATTTAGCTGTCGATAATGGTATAGCAGCAGTAATGCCAAATGTAAATATTATTTAGTGGGCAGTCGTAGAAGGGGCAGTAGCTGCGTTTTTGCGCTTAAAGAATTCTCCCTCGCAGATACGACGGGATTAGGATTTCATACAACGCTGCCCTGGAATGAACAGTTACTGCATCTGATACCACGGCCCTGTCCTAAAATATACAGTCACAACATCTGCTATTTGATATACTTTATTACCGAATCGGTCTAATACTCGCCTGTGACAGTTCAAACCAGGGAATTTGGTGTACTATTAAGTTGCTACTAGTACTACAAACCGGCATTTGGAATTATGTTTTAGACTATTACGTTATCGTTTAAAAGCGAATCGAATGATTGTCTATAGATATTAGCGTCACTGGGGAAAAGTATTGTACTGAAGTATGTATATGTGCGTTCAAGGCGATAGCTTTTTCTGCAGCGTTACGTCGGAACTGATACGCCTGTACAAACCTGTAGTTGATCATATGATTGCGTGTTTTTCATTGCGACATGAACATGTGAAATACAATAATATGTGACACTATATCTCGTATTTCATTCAAGGCGTAAATGAGAATGGAGTGCAACAAAGCATACAGAAATTCTTGGAGTTGGGTTTGCGAAGTCTGGACAGCTTCGTATGCTTATCTGCGCTTGCTGTGAACTAGCAGCATGCGTTCGAGATATGCTTGTTTAGTTATGCATCATAGATCTGCTGATACCAGTGAAATACTTCAATTGGAAGGTGAACATACCGGAGAAAGAACTGTTCCCTTAACCACACGCAAAGAAATTATGAGTACAACTTAGACTGCAAGTGCACGCACTCTTTCCAAGATCATTTAATAAAAAACAAGGTTTATTGTTTTTTTATATATAAACAAAACAACCCAAAATCCACCATGGCACGGCAGGCGAACGGCTGATGATGGTGACACGCACCAAGCACAGACGCTAGAACACAAGCTCTCTTGTAGCCATATCAGAATCGTCTACTCGCACTCTTCGTATAAATAGGTATGTACATGTGCTGTTTATATACAACGTGGATATTGTATATATCTATACTATCTACAGATATGGTACATCAAAAGTGCCCCGCAGTTGATGTATGCAGGCTCGGTCTGAAGTCTATCTATGAATAAACCAAAGTCGGCCGCTTATCTGATCTTCTTCTCCAGAGTTTTCTTTTCCTTGGGAATCTTAGCCTGCTGTTGTTTCTTGGCTTGCTGCTTGTTTTGGTTCTGTTTGGGTTTGTTGGAGCGGGGCACGTTCTCCTTGCCTTTTCTCTTCTTTTTGGGCGTATCTTCTTGCCTTAGGTCAATTACACACATCTCTACACTGTTCAACTTCACGGAAAGCTGATAGCTGTTATCTTCTATCTCTGATTTGACCAATTCGTAGCTGTTCATGTAGATACAGTGCGGAAGAATTTAGAAATGTATATAGAGTGTGTCCCGAGAAATACTTAATCCTCCACGTATGACCAATTTGTGAAATCTTGGACGAAGTCATATATATATATATATATAAATATACCTATAAATATACCTATATATATATATTATACATATATATATATATATATATATATATATATATATATATATATTATATTAATATAGATATATATATATATATATATGTATATATATATATTTATATATATATATATTTTTATATAATATAGATATATATATATATATATATATATATATATATATATATATATATATATGTATATATATATATGTATATATATATATATATGTATATATATAGGTACATTCTGCGTGAAACAAATATATATATCCATGTCTACCTATGCATGTATATACCTACACATTTCTGTGCACTACAAAGGCATACAATTCTGTGTGATATATGAACTGCTCACACTGATTGTTGCTTGTACTTGTGTACAATTAAAACAGACTTGGACGGCAATATCGCACAGATCATTTTATATGTACAAGCCTTAGGAAGTTCAAATCAAAGTACATACTGTAGTGATCTTTACGATGCGTATATGTAGCATATCAAACAGTTTGTATTTTGTATGAGCGTATACACCTATGTGCAAGTAGCCATAGTATTGTGTAACATAGTGGCGGACCGGTAAACCCAATATAAATCATTCTAGCACTCATATTTCCGAGACACAACGATCGGTGTAGATGATGATATGCGTATATATGTTGTATTTCAATATATATATATATAACCATAAAAATGTGTGTTACAATAAAATAAAGATAGGTACATGCGTACACAGGTACGCAAATATACATATGGATTATAATATATATATTATATATATATATATATATATATAGCTTAATATAGTTCATGTGTATATATTTGCTGACATATATATATATAATATATCCCAATTGTACCCAAAGGGACTGTCTGCCTTAATAATCTTTATCTCGATGTGATGCCATTCATGTGTTAACTTGTTAAGACACGCCCCTCACCTAAATCGTTGACAATTGTACGTACCTGTGGTTGGCGAATAGTGGCAGGTACGCCAGTACTACATGTCTGACATAATGAGAATTTATGCGCTTTGTTTTTGCTACAGTTGACAGTTGAGTAGTCCGACATCCATTCATTGAGTTCTGTTGATATAGGAGACAAGTGTTTATTACATTTTTTTCAACACTAAACGCAATCTTCAATGACAAGCAGAGAGTATGCGCAGATAAATACAACAAAGTCTGATCGGCCAAACTATGAACAGTTTTCATAGGTGCATTAGAGATTGAATAAAACTGAAGCAGTGTAGTATTTACATTAGTGCGAGATGATATTTGACATTGATGATACAGTGATTACAGCGCACTCCGGATGGATATACAAACAAATGGACTAGCAATATATTCCACAATTAACAAACCTTGATTATCTGAACTATATAGGGCCCAATAAGCAAGGCCGGTGAGTACTGTCAAGCACAAAGCTGCGACAAACACGCCCTTCCAACTTGATTTTTTGCTTGTAGGTACAGTGAATCGTGCCAAATCATCGTTAGATGTGGGTAGCAGACTTTCTCGAGAACCCTTTCGTGACGCCGATGAATTGGTGCGTTGCAATAGCATGATGGATGTGAAGCTGGAAGGATAAGACTAAACGGGGTATATTGTGTGCTCGCTATACTTTCGCTACCGCTATGGTGAGGAATGCCAAGATGTGTATAATACACGCACCTCTTATTATTTTTCATCCAACACTTGTCTTGGCGAAATTTAGGTTCCTTATCGCCCCCCTCTATCACAAAAAAATATCTGTCTGAAATATGTACGGAGATTCCAAGACCCGAACAATAAGCATGACCGTTGAAAGTTAAACTCAACGTTAATACTGAATACAGATAAAACTTTTACATTACAATGAGCTTGAGATTATATAATATATTAAAATTTAAAAGCCATCAAGCATTGGCGATTCAGCGTTGTCACCGATTAATCATACTCATATGTATCTCGGTGCGATTGTTGCGTGATGTTTTAAATTGAGAGAGAATAAAAAACCGTTTTTAAACTATATTTAATACAGAATATAGCACGGGCAATTCCAGCTAGTTTCCTTTTGTTGTTTATTTTTTTTTATAATATCTTGTCTATAAATATAGAGAGTATGATAAATATATAAATTTGTCCCTATTTCCCTATGCCTCGCTCAGCTGTCGCAGACAAATTACTCTGTCCGTCTGTCGACAGGATACCTTATCGATTATATTGTTGCGAGTAGTTTATAACAAGTTGGTTGGTCTCTGTTTATTAGTTGCTATGACGATTTTCCCATCCTCCGAATTTATTGGTGGGCTCTGAAATTTCGTGATAGTTTTTTTTCTTTCAAAATTTAAATAATGATGGCATGTGCGTTAAAATACAATATCGAAATTCGGACGAAAAACTTGGTCGAGGACTCGTGCCACTCGTGGGCTTTGACTTCCGACAAATTGTCTCTCCCTCTCGTCAGTGAGTGAGTCCAGGACTCCAAGGCCCCAGACTCCAGACTCCAGACTCCAGCCTCAAGCCTCAAGCCTCAAGAGCTAAATACGCATTTAGCCCTTTCTCTCTTTTGCCTTTCTCGAGTCCTACATATGGGCTATGAATGAAGTGTTCTATTTGGAGACTATTTCGACTTGTGACCTGTGCAGTACTGTACATGAAAAATAAACTTTTAAAATACCAAGTTTATATGACTGATTTAAAGTTCCAGTCTCTCAACTTTCATGAGTCATATAAGTCTCATGAGTTATCGAAGCCCGAAGGCCATCAGCCCTTCTGGCTTCTGCCCATCACTGCATCTCATAAGACAAGAGTAGAGAAGAAGACGAAGCGGCGCAGTGCACTACGGTTTGTTTCAGATAACTTTTAATCAATCACAAATTTTGGCTGTGGTCTTCTTTTCTGGGGAATGTTTCACAAGATATCCCAGTAGTATCCTGCTGTAGTATAAATGGTTAAAGACATAGCCTTCCAAATCACACAAAAAAGCATGTCGCACACTTTTTGGTGGTGATGGCTAAATACAACGACAGAATGTGAAAAAGAGCGATAGTGATTGCGTGTATACTCAATGTTTTGTAAACGAAGTGTTCAGGTGCCTTGCCATGCTTCACGCTATGATGGCGGTTAGCGCGGATCTTCTAACAGCTCACGAACACGTATATTCATAGGTAATTTATTAGCGCAGTAGTACAATCCATATTCGTGTCTCGTATAAAAACTGCATCTAACAACACTCGAACGAGCTTGCACGGAAAGCCAACAATGTTTAAAAGGTGTTTATTAAAAAAATCATACAAATACACCTCTGCTTCTAGCACCAGCTTGTAGCACGCTAGTTTAAAGTCGCCTGGAAAGGGATCGTGTGGCACTTGACAATTTACAGACACTACCATTGCTGTCAATAAATCAGTCTTGCTTTCACAAACGGTGAATGACAACCACTTTGCGATCCACTGTAAGGGCAATCTCAAAAGTTGCTGTTGCACATGTGAGTGCATCTTACACGCCAGATATAAGCCTAAATATTAGTCAAAGATTTTTGAAATATTAGTTGGGTTCCATTCCACCAATTAGAGAATGCTCACTCAGGGAAGAAAACTGTCGTTTTTCTCGAAGGATTGACACAAAATGCCAGTGCCAGTTGTTCCGATCTCACCGGGGAATAACAAGCAAAATATAATGGTTCTTTGTTGTTGAGCCGATAGTGTGAATATTCCTTGTGCTGTATTGTCAATAAAATCGGTTACAGAAATGAGTATATCGCGATTTTTTTTTTGAGCTGATTTGAAGAGTTTAAAACCTCGCATATTCGATCGTTTAGGCGATATGTGGAAATTCCATTACTATTACTATGATGGGCTTCACCTGAGACTTAAGGAGAGACAAATCTTATGATTTCTCAAAGAGTCCAGAGTTATTCATCTGCGCCAGACATGAAGCGATCATATCGTGTAGCGTGTTTCAAGTTATATGACTCATTAGAGCAAAAGTTCCAGAAGTTAAATAGTATACTTGTACGGAATAGGTGACTGGCTTCCGACATATTTGCGGAAAAGGCAAAAGGTGCCTCACATAGAAACAACAACGTATATCATGTACGACACATACTGCATGTAGGGTTGAACAAACGTGCCTTATGAAGAGGATTTGCCAATACACCTTGTGGAAGTCTATGTATTATAATCACTGATAATGCGAATGGCATTACTCAGTATACCATAGATGAAACCGATAGACACAAAACCGCCGTATTGTCCCAGCGCAGTATATGCAGCGTGGTAAATACAACATCCAGTGATGGACAATATTGCGTGTAAAATCGACGATGTCGGTACGTGCACGAAGAAACTCGGATATATTGTTGCCTGAGGGGGGAAAGTCTCAAAAGAAGTCTGTGATTTGGTTGACTTATGTAGTGACGATTGAAGGTAGTACGGTCCTTGGGTTGACCGTTGACGCCTATATAGAAAGAGTCAGATATGAAACATTGCCAAACTATACGACAGCAACTATACGACAGCTAGTAAAGCATACAATGTTTAAAGCCAAAAATAGTAGTGCTACGATGCGTGCCGAAGTCATTCTTTGGCCAGATACAGTGATACAACTACTTTGTCACTATCCCATATGACGGATGAAGAGCTCTACGGGTATCCAGATACGAGTGATTCTGTGATGGGGGAAGCGTTGTTAAATAGTACGAAGCGCGCCGAAGAAACTGATGCGTAAGGAAGAGGTGATAGATCATTGGGTACAAGCGATTGCAAGGCAACCCCCAAGGCGAAATCACATGTCCGGTGGAAGACTGTACGAAGATGAAATAGTTTGCAAAATAGCCAATGAAGGAACACCTAGCCATGGCACCTCACGTACGGAACACAACGAACGGT